GCCCTCTGCTCCGCCGCCATCTCTGGCGTCGAAGCCACCCTTCTCCCTTTGACCAACGGGTCAAATAGACAATTCGTAGACTCCATGAGAGTCTACCTACGCGCCGCCACTGCGCAATACATGGCCACGGGCCCGGCCACTACGCCACCCGTCCTCCCTCCTCGCCCGACAAACCCTCTCCCAAGGGCTCCCGACGCCAGGAGACAAACAATACCCACCGTCCCAGCTCTACCTGTCAAAAGCACGTGGGCCACGGTGGCCAGAAACGAACTGCAACAAAAAGCAGGCCCAACTGTGAAGGCTGTGCCGCGACCTGCGGCCAAAGCCCAACAAAAAGAAAACCCCAAGGCGAAAGTCGATAAGCGACTGTTCCTTCGCCTTGAAAAGGATCACCAGTGGCGAAAATTGTCCACAAGCAGGGTGAGAACTAAGTTAGAGTATACATTCAGCTACTTTAACCAAGAAATAACCTCACTCCACCGAGTGAGAACGGGCTTTGCTATGCTAGCAAAGAACGAAAAAACACGACAAGAGACTTTAGATGGCTCTTCGAAGCTTGCGAGTCATAACGTCAAACTCGAGGCATCTTCGGATCTTGTCGCCTTACAGATACCGAACGTACCTGTAAGTATAGTTACAGTGTGCGGTACAAGGGCGGTCGATGCTAGCTGGGTCTCTGCCAAGATTCTCGGTACGACCGGCGCGATACCAATCCAGGCCCGACCTCATGGGACATGTCGACCTGGGGCACCGTATCAGAACTGGCATGCCCTTTTTCACCGGGACGAAGCCCCTCGTGCGGGCTTCCGCCTTTTCGACGATTCGGGTATGGCTACCATCCATAAGCCTCGTCGATCAATTGAACAGTGCAAACGCTGTTTAGGCTTCCACGCCACTCGTGGTTGCTCCCGCGCTCCAGCCTGCTGGAACTGCGGCTCCAACATGCACTCGGAAGCCGAGTGCAAGGCCCTCACTAATTGTCGCAACTGTGGGGGACCCCACCGATCGGATTCTCGGGACTGCAAAGTCAGACCCAGAAAGTCTGGGCCGGTGACAAAAGAGCAGCTCGCATGGATACGCCACCTTGAGCAAGGGAAGTTCGCGGAGGCGGCTCGAGCTAGGGCCGCAGCCAAAAAGGCCGAAGAGGCGATCGTCGCCGCGGCGAAGGATGTCGCAATGGCTGAGGCAACAGGTTTCGGAGTGCTGGGATCTGAAGAAGAAGTTTGAGGACACAGCAACCTCGACGATGTCCCCTTCTGGGGCATCCACTAACAATTAGCAGGATACCGGCTGGATCAAAGGTGCCTGCTAACTCATCTTTCGCTCTCAGCATAGAAGGAGTAAATTTGTCATTTGGAAGGTGTGACGGACGAGGGAATGTGTGAGGAGCACATTGACTGGATCCATTATGGAGGAATCTTCTGGTTTTTTCGGAGTTGTTTTGATTTTCTTGATTTTTCGTTTCTGTTTAATCAGCTGCACTTTTGGTAGCGATTCACGAGGTTGGAACGAGTTAGGCTGTAGGAAAGATTACAGGGAATCCTGCCGGCTCCGCCTGTCCTTGACCCAATGTGGAAAACATAGCTTTAGCTTAGGACAAAATAAACAAACAAACAACCTTAAGGTGTCCTTGACTCTTCGGGGATAACGGGTTAGACCTAGGACCTAAATGAATAATCAAACATCCTTAAGGTCTCGTGTTGGCCAGCTCAGTCTACATAAACTACCCGACGTGCCGATACCTTTCAATAAGCCCGACATGTTATAAATGGGCCAAGGCCTACCTGCCATGCACCCCGAACTATCGAAAAAAAGCCAGAAGTACCCTTGAGCTGAGACTTTTGTATTCTAATACAATAGAGAAGATAGTTATATATATGAAAAGGAAAGTTATCCATCATCTAGACCAGAAGTCTTCTAAATTTAGCTCTAGCAAATACAGGCCAAGTGCATATAATTTGGGGTACTAGTTAGTCTTGTTGTTGCATGCTTCAAAAAAGCTCGTTTCATGAAGCCATTTACTAAAAGCTATGGCTCCTTCAGGTGAGCCTAGGATCCAGCGAATTCCCGTCGTTGGGTGTTTATTTCCGCTGCAAAGGCGGGAACGACTCCGATTGAGTCTACAAAAGAAGTGCTCGGGCGACTTTTGTAGCCCGCAAGCGCAGATTAGAAGAGCGTCCGAGGAGAACTCCCTGTTGACGCACCTTGTGCATAATCCCTTGGATGCCTGTCACGGAGTTCTCAGTTCTCTAACTACGCAGCACTGGTGTCTATAATTATGAGTTGAACCACCAATTATGGATTCCCTTTACGATCAAATAATGTGAATAGCTAGACTCCAAGGGAGCGACAATTTAGCGCCTCTCTACGATGTTCTCAATGTAACGGCTAGTGAGCCGATATTTGTCCTGTATCACGTGATTAACATCACGTGCCATGACAATTCTGTGAAAGGCGAAACTTCACTCTAGTTTATTCTGAACATGACTAGAGGAATCTAGCAACTGGCATTGAGACTGTGAACTGGTATCAGGGAAACATAACAGAGGCTAGTATCAGACAGGAAGGAATATTCTAGATAGCCTAATAAGTGTATAAATAGTTGAGTTAGGACACACACTTTTTTTTTTTTTTTTTTTGCATCAGATTTTAATTGCGTATGCAGCTATCTAGCTATGACACAATATCAGAGAAGTGTATGATAGATGACTCAATTTACAAGAAGAGCACTCATGCCTCGGATTTCATTTGCAAGTACCACTGCGAAGTTATGGTGGCTTTTTCTTCACCCCAAGTCAACCCTCATCCGTGAATACCCACCCAGGGGAACATCTCAAAAACCCTGGGTTATCCAGACATGCCTCCATCATCTTTCAACCTTTCTCCGCGCGATATGTGATCTGAGGTGTCTCCTTCCCAAGTGGAGTAGGTGCCCAGGCTACTCAAACTATACCAGAGAACACCACCAGGAGGCGGACCACAACACCTTCCATCGTTTGCTTGTTTTTATAGTGTCAACTGCACTCTCGCAAGCGAAGTCTTGGCGCGCACAAAGCCCAATTCGAAAAACTCCTTGCCAAAATTCGGAATTTCACGCCCTTCGAGGTTTTATCCTTCCTTCGTATCATCATGTCGACTTATCCTGATTCCTCTCAAGTCCATCTCAAATAACTATCTCCCAGATTTGTGCGCCACGCTTTACTTCCTCCGTCGGGTATAAATATCGGCGTGGGCGTGTATTTGGCGGTCAACTGAGGCCAGAGAAGGTCGAAGAGCGGTGTGGTCATCGGGATGAGGATGTACTTGGTCGTACTTGTAGACTTGATGAGACGAAGATAGGAGTCAAACTCGTTGGGAGCGAAATAACGACGCGGATAAGTAACTTGGATTTTTGCCTCGTGGGCCAACTTCTTTGATATTGCGAAATTTGACTGAACTTGGCTTTGGGAGAATATTTCACTCCCAGGTTCGTAGAGGACACCGCGTACAGGTGTTCAGTCTTGCCCTCCGGACACACACATTGTGGTGTAGAAAATAATAAACAACCTTCGTATATTTGATCGCCCCAGCATCTATACCTCGAACCGTGACACTCAACAAACGTACATCTCTCATAGCAGAGCAGAGATTGAGCAAAATCTTCGTCCTCACTTCTGTGAAGTTTTATTCGACTTTAGTTATCTAAATATTCAGACATATAATGAATATGGTCTGTTTGTCGTTTATGATGTGGCTGCGATTGCAGTTGGATGTAAATAATGTAAAGGTCTTTATCAAGTATCTTTAATATATACATTTATTATGGAAATACTCTCCCGTCAAGTCTACTCTAGTATGTACATGTAAATGCCTTCTTTTATAGATATTCCCAAAGTCAAATATAGAGCACCTACATCCCCTGAGATATATGTTCGATACAGAGTTGTGACCTGCCTCCCATATTATGCGCAAGTCCAAAACTACGTTCTACCATGTCAGTCAGTTCCGTATTAAGTTTTCCAGCCTTCATTTCCGTGCACATATCCTAAAGTGTAATTTGCCCGTAGATGTATGATCAGCGGCGGAAACCTGCAGTCTAATAAACACAGTTTAGACACCATGGGACTAGAGTCTAACTCTAACAAGTTTCCCAATCGCCTTCATCCCTTTGCACAACCCCCTAACACCAAAATCATGAATCTAACCACCATCAGATTAGATGGTAGGGTCGAGGTCCTATTCATCACCCATCCTTGATCATGGAGGAAAAGCCATCCGATGAGTATGCGGAACATACCCAGCACCCAATACGGAAATGGTGTATTGGATTTAGTTGGCCTCTTTAATTACAATCAGGGGAAACATATATAGACATGCGCAAATTTTGTGGTGCTAGTATCTAAGCGTCGGCTCGCTGGGGGTGTAAATTTTTTGATAATTTTTTCAGCGAACTGGGTTTTTTGCTACCTTTCGAATTATTTCAGAAACTTGCAATCAAGGTTTTGTTATATATTTGGCTGGATCCTACAGATAATCAGAGATCTAAGTAGCCTTTTATCACGGGTATTATATCAAAGATCTGGTTTTTACAACAAGGGAAGATAATTGCGCTGTGTAAGGTGTTATTGAGATCTGGGTATAACCAAATTTGCTAGTTGGTTATTAAATCAAGTACCATGACCAGAAATCAACCCGAACTACTTATACGCAGAGGCAAATATTTTCTGGAGTTGCGATTAAAGTGCCAACAGTTGCTAGCCTTTGACTGGGCCTATCCTATTTGCAATTTTTTAAAAATGCCTGACATGCACCTATGAATAATGTTGTTGTTCGTTCGATAGTTGCCCCGACAACAAATATATTTACAATATTTCGACGCTATCTACGCTGTCGTTTAGTAAGTGACTTGTAGATTTACAAACGCTTAGCTACACATTATGCCACTCATGCTCCTCACAAGAATATTTATGTCATTGATAAATATCCCAAACTTTTTATAAAACTACACATAAGTAACCAAGATGACATCCACAAGAGAAGTTTCCCCCGAAGAATGCGAGGCTCAACTCTCTCCTGCAGTGTTTCTAACACCTAATTCTAAGGTCAAAGCACTTCTTGCTAAACTTGATAACTACGAAAATGAGTTAAATGGAGTTTCTGCACGGGATAAATTACTTGCTGCAATGTCGCAACCTAAGATGAAATCCAGCACCACACAACATCCTGGCACGGTCAGCGAAGGTCGCTTTTTTTCTGATGTTGACAACCTACGGCCAAAAGGACGCTTGGCTGCTAACATACAGGTCAAGCAACATTACTCAGACTCGGGAATAGCTGCTAAAAGCAGGTTATCAAAACCAGAAGAATCCCTCCAGGACAGGAGCGTCGTCGGATCTAAAGCTACAACTACTGGAATTATCGAGAAAAAAGAATGCTCAATTCCACAGGAAACTAAGCAAACTATGACATCTAGTACTTCCAGCAAAGTATACTCATCTGTCTCCCCGCCATCACCTAGCCTGTTCGTCTCCCCATTGAGATTATCCAAATCAGTCTCGCGTACTGCATCATCGGAAAATGAATCTTCAGAAGATGAAAATGTTGATCACAAAAATTCCATCGTTTCAACATTGAACACAGTTGATGATGAATTGTGCACACAGTCAGAAATAACAAAAAAATCGCATACAAAGATGCCGAAACAAAAACAGAAACTTTCATCTCAGGGGATAGAAGGACAGAGTGATGAGAGCGAGACTGAAGCAAATATAATTTTAACACAAAAATCCAAGTCGTTAAGGAAAGCTAGCAAGAAAGCCTTAGAAGATATAAATCGGGAAACCCAAAGACTAAGTCGCCAACAACAACTAGCACACAAGGCAAAGACAAAAAAGAAGATCACAAAAGAAAGCTTGTTCTCAAAATTCAACTTTCGATCCAACTCTGAGCCCCAATTTAATGAGCCCGAAGTCTATCAACCAAAAATCCCCCACACCCCAACAAGAGAGCAGAAAAATGCCACAGCCTTACCAGTTTCGCAAGAAAATACAATATCAAAATCTATAATGGCGCAAGTCTCATTGGAAACGGAGTCAACAAGCCAGGAAACAGCTAAAAATGATATTTCTACCGTGATTCCGAAAACATATCTGGATTCTATTGTTCAAAATAATCAAAGCTGTCCACTAGCGAATGATTCTTTCAAATCAAAGCAAATAAATGCAATAAATCTGCAACCCAAACCTCGCAGAAACTTATCGGAAATGAATTATGAAAAACATAAATCCCTATTAGAAGAATCTGATAGTGACCTTGAGATAATTGAAAAAAGAGACTGCCTCAAGCAGAGGCTAAATCATGTTTTCAACTCAGCACCTAAGAAAAAAGTAGAAAGAGCAAACGGTCTACACGCATTAAAAATTCTTGCTCAACTCAACTCCTCATCAACTAATCAAAAATCTAGGGACAGAGTCCTGCCTACTAGTAAAGAACTACATGTAGGATTGCAGCAACGTGCAAGACAGCAGGCTGCTCGCGAAAAGGAGGAAAAATTAGCCTTGCTCTACGCGAAAGGAATCACTATTCAAACCAACGAAGAAAGAGAGAGAGACCAAGTGGATCTCGATGACTTGTTATCTAAGGCTCGAACTGAAGCAGACAACCTGGGAAAGCAGGAAAAAGCTGAAGCAAAGAAAAGAAAAAGAGAAGAGAACAACACAGATAAGCTTACAAGCTGTGATGAAGACTGGTCCGAAGCCGAGCAAACGAATTCAGATAACTCTACTTTTTCTGACGATGAAAGTCAATACGGCGATAATCCTGAAGAAGAGAGTAATATTGGTGAAGAGGTCAAGGATGGATCTATACCTAACCAAAATAGTCATAGGACAGACCGAGATATACCGCTAATAAAACAAAGTGAAGATGAAGAAACTGGTGAGGACTCTGATATGTCCACTGAAATTGATGTTCGAGAGTTAAAAAATGAAGATGAAGGAACCTCCAAAATATCTGTCCCACGCCGTCGACATGTGAGAACTTTGAATATCATCTCTGATGATGAAGACGACTTATATAAAACCAAGCCAGAGTCAGTTGATTCGAAAGCAAATTTTGTTCAAAATTTCCCTAAATCTCCAAGCACAACAATTTGCTCTGCCACAAAGCCCTTCATTCCCGGTATTCAAGTTTCAGGCACCGCTGGACTAGGGCTAACACAAATTTTTCAGGGGACCATGGACGAGATTCTGAGTTCCAATGAGGTTATATCCTTGAGTGAGAGAACTAACGAGGATTTGAATAATATACAAAGCTTAGATTTTTCTCCTCGTCCCACATTTCTCGTCAACAATCTCGATACGGGAACCTTGCATCATACTCAGGTCCGTCAAAGCAGTAATTTCCCAGGCAAAACCTCCGCTGCTGTGGTTAATCAAGACAGTTCTAAATGTCTTAAAGACGAAGAATTCGACAAAGAATTTCATGAGACTAATTTTACACAGTTCGCCGAACCGACCCAAGACGTGGGATTCGCTCCATTATCACCTTTTGAAGATAGATTTTTAGACCTTTCTTCATCCAAGGCAGAAAACATCTGCGCGCAACAGAACGAACATAAAAAAACCAAGAGAAAGCGACTACACCGACGAGCACCCGAAATAACTAATCTTTCAGACGAGGAAAACGATGAGGGAACAGAAGAAATATCTACGAAAAACTTTAAAGGCGACGAATCAGATCTTGAAGCAAATGTATTTGATGCCCTCCAAAAAACAACTCGAAGGGAAAATAATTTCGCAAAGAATTTCAGTAAGAAAACGAGTGAAGCGAAGAATTTATTCCATGAACAAGCCGAGGAATCGGAAGATGAATATGCTGGGCTCGGCGGCGTCAGCGAGAATGAGAGCGGCAGTGATGACGAAACTGAAATGCAGGAGATGATAGATGATGCGGAAGGCAAGGAATTTTATGAACAGAAGCATGCAGCGCTCTACGCGTGAGTTACTAGAAGTATGACTAGTTTGATAACCTAGCTAACTGGTCTCTAGGGACTATGAGCGGAAGAGTGATGAGAAGCAGGTCAAGAAGCTCTATAATGACATCACCAATGGCATGCTGCGCAGGAAACGTCGTGCAGAGTTTGACTTGTCTGATTCTGACGACGATGGAGCAGCTCGACAGCGCAGAAAACAACGAGAATTTGCTCGAATGAGGAAAGCTCTGCTGGCTGATGAGCGTATTGGTGAGATCGCAGTTAATCCTAAGCGACAAGCTTTTCTCCGAGCCATCGAGGATCGATGTAGCGAGGATGAAATGGATTTTCTCCAGATCCACGAGGAACAGTACGAAATCAAAGACTCTAAACCAGCATCAGATAAAGCGGTAGGGAATGTCAGCCTACATCAGGAACTCTCGAGATGTATCGATCCAAAACCCTCAGGGGAGAACTCATACAAGTCAACCCCTCGATATTCCAAGGGCCCTCCGAAACCTTCGACTCTCTCTGAGATCCGCGCATCGCTGCTGAGCTTGATCGAAGAAGTTAACGTCGAGGCCCCGCTTCAACCGGGCCCAGAATCGGACGATGATCTTGAGATAGTTGGGGATACCGTTTCGAGCGACACCCAGGGCTCTAACACACGCGAGACCCTTGATCCTTTTGTTCTTCGTCGCCATACGGGCAAAGTCATAGACCGGTTCCTGGCACAGCAAACCGCCTCATTGACGAACGCTAGTACGAGCGCTTCACGGCCCGCATTTGCACCGTCCAGCGTTGTTAACGCCTCTTCACTGCCGCCAATCTTGCGACGCGTTACGACAGACCAGAGCTTCACTTGCACCATTAATAATGGCGGCAAGGGGAAGGGGCTTGTGATTCCCGAGCGATCCGAGAGCTGCCTCAAGGGCGATGGTGTGAAGCGGGGTGGCACAAGAGGTAGTGGCATCAACTATTTTGCTCGAGAGAATGAACGTCGGGCCAAAGTGATGCTGATAGAGCAGCGTCGCCAACATAAGTTACTTGAGAGTGCAGCTCACCGGAGGCGTATGGTTGGTGGCCTACTCGGTGGCGGCAAGTTCGATTGAGACATCTTGAAAGGTTTGAAGACGCTTTGGCACTTTTCATAACTACGAAGGGATTTGATCAGGAACGGACCTTGATCTATCCAGCTTGTAAATACTCATCTCTTCTGAAAGGCCAAAGAGCATGCGATTTTTCAATTCCCCATTATGATTGAGCTCACAAAATTCCAGCTTTGCTACATCAGTCGTATACCGAATTCTGGCAGAAAGATGCGTTAATTGTGACCCCCATAACTTTCAGTACTTCCATTTCTACTACCAAAAGTTGGGTCCTAGCTCATCTCTCTTCGCACTTTCTATGCCGTCAAACGATTAATCTAGTTGCACTGAGGCCCATTCATCACCACCGCTCATGTACTGATTAGCCGCCCTCAAAATATGATGGATCTCCGCCAAAAGTTACTGAAGAGAGCCAGATTAGTTACATGACATCATTGAGCTGCTCGGCATAATTGAAACCATGTAGCTGAAGCGACCTGGCACCGATGAGAAGTGCATAATCCTTTTATCCTTGGCACGGCCATGGAGTTTCCAAACCTTATGTCCCAATAGCTCTCGGACTGATTATGACTCACCGAAAAAAATTATGATAAATTTCACCCGTTCTAGAAATATTCTGAAGTCGTTCTCGGTCATATTAACTCTCGGTATTTCCAAGATAATATTCAATTGATTACATCAAAGGTCTGTTGCTTGGAAAACCATAGCTACTGATGGAATTACTATCACGATTGCCTTTAGTGATCTACTTGTTGATCAACAATGAGCTAACAATTAGAATATTTTCACAATGCTATCCACCAAAAACTTGAAAATTATAGTTGGGTACGATGAATAAGAATCATCAAAATACAAATCTTGGTTACAGCTTGATACGTGAATTCCATCAATTCAAAAAAACTCAGGCCAGAATCAAGCTATCAACTTTGTCTACATGGGGCACCTACCAAACATCAGGATAGGAATAAGAGAACCATAATAAATTTAATAAATTTAAAAAGCTTCTCCTAATTGTCAGAAGAATGTTAATGCAATAGTGATCTTTTGAGCTATTCCCTAAAAGACCAGTTAGGTATAACAAATAATGAAAAGAAATTTTTTAGATTCATATCTTGATTGCTTTTTTCTATCATTTTTGTAGGTAAACAAATTCAGGAGGCAATTTCTTCATGAAAATTTCTCAAAGTTCTTCCATAACGCCGTATTTTTCTTGTATTTTATCAATTAAAATTTCATCCTGGTTGTCATCAGGACTCGTCAGTGAATTAAGGGTGTATTTCATGTTTCATTGGCAACTTCGTTGTACTGACACAATGCATAAGTAGTTATTAGTCAAATATTTAATCATTTATTGCGCACAAACCACCTTAGTTGCTAGAAGCTTGAGATTATATGTTGTGAATTTTTAAGTCGTATCGGCATATGAAGGGGTGTTGAGTCAAACGTATCCCTCGTCGTTGCTAAGATATTCTCGTCGCCCGTGAAGCAACTTGCAAGGCTTTTTTTATTAGTATTAGAAATTAGTTTTAAGATCTATGTCAGTATCTGCTTTTGCAGTGGCGAATTTGATAGTAAAGGTTTTGCGTCTCTGCATTAATCTTAGCTTTTGTATTTCACAATCAGGGTTTTAAGAGTGGACCTGGGAGAACTGGAGCAAGTTATTCACCTCATGTCTGTAGCAAGGTAAATAAGGAAATCGTGGGTTAGTTCTATCTTCCATCTTTTGAATATAATGCCTTGAAGTCCGAATTGGTCAATTTCTCTTTGACTTTTTTAGAAATATCATTGTTAATATGAATTTCGTCCGGTACGTCAGTGTCTATGGGAGTAGACAAGTTAGGTCGACTTGAGTCTAACTTTTTTTTTTGGTACAACTTATTTTTTTTAAAAGCCATAGGTCGCTTGATTGGAGCTGTGGGTTGCATAAACGAGCCTATTAGATTTTTTCTATTTCCAGCCTGCATGCTGTCTACCCGGATCTCTCTTCTATCGGCAAATAGATCCTTTAACGATCCCATGTGAATCTTATGTCCTGGTATTATTTCATAATTTTCTAGACCTAAGCTGGCTTTTCCGGCGGATACAGCGTCAGTGTATTCGACTATGGCACCCTGATGGTCTGGTCGAAGAATTATTTTGATAATCTCCCCGTAAGATGAGGCAAGAAGACGAATACGAGCATCATTTATAGTATCAGGAATGTTTAAAAGTACTATTGTGCGATTAGATATCTCGGAACGTGATGAATTATGTCGGATTTGCTCGAAGGAGTCCCCGCTTTCAAGAATAGATGATGTTAGATTACCTGACTTCGCAATCTCGTCTGACATTGACAACATCGGTAGGTTATTACCTACTGTAGTTGCAGTGGGTTTGAAGTTTTTTTCCTTGGAAATCTCGACAGAAAGAATACATGATTTGAGCTTGGTTTTATCCAGTTCTAGAGATGCATTGGCTTCTTCTTGCTTGCTGTACGAAATAAACGCAACACCTTTACTCTCCCCTGTTAGTTTCTTCAGGACATTAACTCTTTGCACCGTCCCATACTTCGAGAAAACTTCTTTGATATCATTCTCGGTAAGACTCAAGTCCAGACTTTTGACGTGAACTTCACGGCCTTCAGCTGTAGCGCCCTCTCGGTCTTTCTTATTACTAGGGTTAGAGTACGCAGCAGTTAGCTTGTAGAAACCATCCAGGGAAAGACCATCTAGTTTAGTCGCTGCTGCCGCCCCTTCAAGTGACCTGAATGTAATGTAAACAAAACGACGAGAGGTTTTATATTTTATGCTTGGCCATCTAATGCTGAGTATTTCTCCACAATCCTTGAATAATTCATAAAAGTAGGCATCGTCAGCAGCTGGAGGGTAGTTTGTAACGTATAGTGTTAAGCCAGTTCCAGGCATAACAGATATTTGTCTATCTCCAAAATATTTATTATGTTTTATGATAGCTGACGAAACATCTACTCGGGATCTTAGTTCAATCAGAGCAGTTGTACTCAAACCATCAGGGTCTGCCTTCAAGGTTATATTGTTAATGTGCGCGTAATCGTTAAAATAATGTCTTAATTTTGTCTGCGTTACACCAACAGGTAGGTTGGAAACGATTATAGTTGTATTCTCGCGATCACGTTTTAAATTCTGTTCCTTCCATATTTCTTCGCTTACTAGTTTGGATTTTTTTGCAACGCTGTCAGAATACTCGCCGTCTTCACGCTTCCTTTTGGAATCTTCGGTGGTCCTCTCAGTATTCGATACCTTTTCAGTCATTTCAGTTTCCTTCACCGACTGGGCTTGATAAGCTGCAGCCTCTCGCTCGCGCCTTTTTGCGATACCCTTAGAAATCCGCCTAACTGTATTGAGCGAATGAATTACAGTAGCCACTTCTTCGCAGTTGTTACAATGCCTCACGTAAATTTCTATTATTTTTTCAGGCCAGTCGAGACTTTTTCGATTTATTGCTTGAACGAGCACTGCTGTAGCATAGGTTGGAGGCATTGAAGGATTCCTGATATTCATTTCCCACATATAATACTGTTGCCAGAATTCGTAGTTATCAGCATGAACTGGAACAAGACTCCGCCAGTGGCGACGGGCTTCCTCATAAGCCCTTTTTTGAGTCAAATGCTGAATCAATATAGTTTCAATCCTGAAAAATGGGTCTCCATTCCAACCTTTACCACATCTTCTTCTCCCCCATTGTAGAACATCCTCCAGGGCTGTAGGCAGTCCCATTTCCGCTACATCAAGATCTTCGTCCGTTGCTCCTTCTACCATTGTTCGACGTTTAAGGTAGCCACACCATGCAATATAGAATTCGACAACGTCATTCATGCCATCACGATCTAGATCCCTGGCGTTTGTTGCGGCATGCTTTATCTGTTCCATGGTAGAAAACGGGAGGCACTCAGCCTCAGCACAAAGGATATAACGAGCCCATAAAGCCCCAGACCAGGGACAATGATTCGTACCCCTTTGTATTATCGACAGAACTGGAGGTAGGGAGATTTCTGGAACTTCGACCTTGGTGCTTAAGAGAAATACAACGTAATCCTCCCAAACAGATGGATCCAAGCTTAAAGGTGTAGATGTTAGCGCTCGTTCAAACAGGGCAACACAGAGAAGCAATGAGATCGAAAGCATTCCTTTTTTATTTTGTTTGAGTACCTGTCCCTGTTCCCAATTTAGATAATCCAAAATTTGTGATTTTACATTGTCATTATTACTAGATTCAACAGCTTTTCGAAGCTTCAGCTCAAATGTTTCTCGGAGTTTGTATTGCTCCTTTGCATTTGCTGATAGTTTTGTGACCTCAACCATTGAGGATTCCCAAGTGGATTCACAGTATTTTGTTAGGAAGTTTGAAAAGTTCTGCGACGTGTCATCCCAGGCTGCGTGAGGGGTTTGTAATCGATCAAAAAAGAGCTGTTTGACACGAGTAATATCCTGCGAATTGGGATCTTCGGACAACTTTTCTAGTTCGATGGATATCCATCTGTTCCAAAGAACATGGCTGTCGTTTAATCGATACTGTGTCGCTTGGGCACCCTGAAGCCAAACTTCTAAGGCCATTTCCCAGGAAAATATTTCTTGGCCCAATAGCTGCTCCTCTACTGGCCATCCAGCATCACTATTCTGGCAGTCTTTGTAGAGTGACCAGACCCACTCGCAATATGCAAGCCACAGTTTGTTGGATGACGGCTCCGCGGCAATCGCACGCTTGTAAAGCTCCACAACCTCGATCCGACGTTCAAGATCTCCGGCGGTTCGACTGGCCTCATCAACTAGAGCAAGCCATCCATCTTCACCGACCGGGTCAGACATAATAAATAAATAATAAGACAGCTGTTAGTAAAGGGTATGAAGACAAAAAATTAGGAAGAAGAAAAGATTGTAATTAAGAAGCAGTTGATCATTTCAGTTATTCCCGGGAATATTGAGAAATAGAGCTGCAATTTTTAGCACTGTTCAGGGCATTGGTGCACCACTCGAGTTTGCATAGCTGATCGAGCTATACCTCGTGACCACATTACATAATACAGTAGTTTCTCAATAAACCACACTGAATAACGTCACCACTATTTTCTCAAAATCTCGATTGTAAGTCCAGACCATATGTCTGTATTTTTGTTGTACTACTGGAGTCATAGACTATCTAGCACATTGGGCTCCTCTCTGACCCAGGCCACACCTTGTACAATGCTCCTTGCCTCTTATGTTTTTTGAAAGATCATCGACATATTGCCCGTGATGAGTAGCCATTCAGCTCAGTGTTTACCCGTGGAATTCGGCCACCTTTTCCCTGATACCTTCTACCCAAAAAAAATGGTAGCAATGAAAATTGCGTCCGCGTGAAAAAGTCTCAAAAAACCTGCAGCTCCAGCCAGGCGAGGCCTAGACGCCGGGACCACATGAGGTGCGCATATTCATCTATATCTCCCTTCTTTGTAACATTCGAGGCCGACTTGATCCAATCCGCCGTCTCCGTATCGGGTGCTGGGTACGCTCCGGAAACTCATGAGATGGCTTTTCCTCCATGATCAAGGGTTGGTGATGAATAGGGCTTCGACCCTACCATCTGATCTGATCGTGGTTAGCTCCATGATAATGGTGATAGGGGGATGTGTTGAGAGATGAAGACGATACAGACCGCGTAAGCGATTAGGGATCCTCGTTGAAGTGAGGACTTTGTTACTCAATCTCGGCTCTGCAGACTCTACAGTGAGAGCTGGAGGCTTGTAGGGGACATCACTAACAGATGTTAAGTTTCGTCCCCCAAATTCTTCTCAGTTAATATAAGCATTTGATTGTGGCATTGCTTTCGTGTATTAACCGAAAGTCATAGCCCGACACTTTCTTGCGGTTGTGGAAAGTCCGTCAACTGAATTACGACCAAACCACCAAGTACGAACCTATACTCTGACAACTCATCAAATTAAATTTAGCCAAGGGTTGGATGGTGCAGTGGTACACCATCCGAGCCGTTCTCTCAAGTAGACTCCGGGTAGCCTGAACACCTGCCTCATTTGGGACAGGAGAAAGCTGATTCGAATCAAATAAAACCCACACACCACTCTCTACGGCGATAAATCGTATTTTTAAGATAATAGAAGTACACTCGGACAACCATAGGTTTTCAAGTTTTTTTCTGTGGTGGGTATGCACGGAAGACGTTATACGCCGTAAGGGTTAACCTCGAGTGGTATCTGCAAATGAAATTTGAGTGAGTGTTTTGAACGTCAAATTGTGTCACCCTACAGAAAGTACAAATCTTCCAATAAAAACTTGCATGGGCCTCAAGGTACCAAAGCAGGAAAATTGAATGATTTTTTCATTTATAACTCAGCCTACACTTGTTCGTGACTGAATCTCGTCTGTGTAATAATATTTCACTCCCATGTTCGTAGAAGATGCCACTGACAGATGTTCAGTCTCCTTCCTAAATATTTTTTATTATTATTTAATGTGTATTCAGCTATCTAGCTATGACACATGACTGGTACTAAAATTCCCGAATATTCGTGAGGGAATCGATCAGATACTCCATAACCACTACCGTTCCCTTCCGACTCACATACACTTACACTAATCCGTATTCTCATAGTAGCAAGACCCCGGATCTCCAACATGTCTCCGGGGCCTGCCAAATCATCGCGACCTATTCGCCTTCAAAAAACCATTGATAGAGCGAATACTAGGCTGAAAAAGCGCTTTGCAAAAAAGAACGTGCCATTGAGCTCGATAGACGGGCGAAAAATGGAGCTGGACATAACCGAAAAGATAAGAGCCTTCAAAGAAGATTCTAATTCCACAAACCCCGATGTTGAAATTGGTGATGCGGTTATAGACCGATATATCCTGGAGGGGCTTGAGAGCTCACGATAGAATATCAATGAACCCAAAGACGGTCAGGTCTCAGGGGCCCCCGTTATTGCAGTCACGAGAAAGATTACTGTGCCGGCTATAAAGTGGACAGCTAATGCTAACTTCGAAACAACCGACGAAGTTGCGTCCACCACAGCCCCTCAGAACCTCATTACGAGGACAAGTGGAAATAATCAAACTTCTTGCAGCGATGGCAACCCCAAGAACACTGCGACTTGTCCTCCCGAGCTTCGAGCCATACTTGAAGCCGAAGAACAGTGAGCGGCCCAGACCGCAACTAATCTCACAATATGCACCGCTGCTATTAATGGTGTGGAGAATGCACTCGCACCTCTATCCAAAGGGCCGAGTGTTCAATTTATATACTCCATGAAAATCTACCTCAGAGCTGCAGTAGCTTAATTCATGTTGTCGGGACCAAGAACAGTCCTTCCCAAACTCCCCCCACGACCAAACTACCAGACTCATGGCGGAAAGATCGTGGAAAAAACGATACAAAAGCAGCCAGAGCAGCTACAAAAAGAGAACCAGGCGAGGATAACCTCGGTCAAGCCTACCTAGGCAACAGTTACCCGAAATAGCCTCCACACGCCGGCAGCACCTGTGAAAGATGTGCGGGTCCATAACGAACCCTCGGCATCAACGAGACCTTCAGCAAAGGCTTCGAACCTGCCCCCAAAGATGATTGTTTGTTTCTTCGACTCGGAAAAGAACATGCTTGGCGCACTCTTTCGCCGGCCGGTGTACGAGATACAGCAGCAAAAGTGCTCGAGCTTCCCTCACAAAATATTGAACACGTATACCGTGCTCCAACTGGCTTTGCACTTCGAGCCAAAAACCAGGAAGCACGACAGCTTCTTGTAAACTCTGCTGTATCGTTCGTCCAGGTAGACGCAATCCTGGAGAAGGCCTTAGATTGAGTGGCCCTTCATATTGCGACAATTCCCGTCGCAATTCACACACTCCTAGGCAAAGTAGTTGTCATCGACGAGATGGTAGCAGATGAAATTGTCCGAGTCACTAAAAAGGTTCCGGTAAGGTTTCGACCTCATGGAAAAGGGAGAGTCGGAGCCCCCTACCAGACATGGGTAGCTCATTACGAAAGAGCCTCCGTCCCCAGACCAGGCTTCCAACTGTTCAACGACTCGGGAATCGCTGTTCGCCATCAGCCACGCCAAACTATGAGCCAATGCAAGCGATGTTTCTTATACCACGGGACCCAGAGTTGCTCACGCACCCCAGTGTGCTGGAACTGCACCTCAAAAATGCATTCCACCTCGGAATGCCAAACACATACCAGGTGCCGCAATTACGGTGATCCCCATAGATTAGATAGCCAAGATTGCCTGGCTCGCCCTAACAAGTCCGGAATGGCCTCTGAGGAAACCCTCGAAAGAATCATAAACGCTAGCCAAACGCGAATATGCCGCGGTGATCCGAGCAAAAATTGTCAAGGGATAGAGTGAATTGAGGGAAGTTGTTGTCACATGATATAACGCGTCTGATACGCGATTCACGATGTATATATTTTTACAGGACTCAATAGGAGTCACCTTTCTTCTTTGTAGACAATCTCAATCACCAGATTAGACCTCGTCAATCTACTTCATGACCTTCCCCTGACATATTGTCTACCAAATCACCTTTAATTACGTCCCTCGCGCGTAAATCCTATACCCATACTGACAAATTGATTCATATTCAAATAGTACCAAAAGTGTAATTCGTACTAAATTTTCTGCATACCTATCACAGAGATGCACCTAAAGTAAAATATATTAAATCAATAATAGAATGGATAGAAGTTCTCGAAATCATGACCTACCTAACCACGACCACACCCTTCAATTCAACGACCAGAATATAGACTTCGTTCACATGTACCCTCTGCTCAACTCCATCCTAAACCAAGAATCTTTACTCAACGCTATGCAGGGACGCAACGCTGTAGTTAGTCCTATTTTACTCAGTAATGAAATCGTTTCCCTAGCAAACTCATTCAGAAAATTTGGAAAATGACCTCCGCCATTACGAGAATGACTATGACACATTGCCTGAAAAGAATTGTGAATTCTCTGATGTAGTCTCTGATCTAAAGACAAAAGCAACTACTACTGAGAGAAATACTTCAACGCATTGTATCTACCGGTCTGCTCAACACCCTGACCCAGATTTATTCTCTGCGGATAACATTGATATGCACAAAGAACTTCCTCAATTTATCCGGAAAATAAATATGAAGTTTATTGCAAACAAGGACTGGTTCCCGTCTGGAAATACTAAGATACTTTATCTAATTTCCCGCCTCAAGGGAAGAGCATATTCCACCATTTCTCATGGTATAAACAGAAATGGTTCTGTCAAATACACATCTGTTGATGCCATTTTTGTCCTCCTTGAACAAACATTTGGGGAGATTGAACCATGTAATGCAGCTCGTAGGAAAATACTGACCATTAAACAAGGACAGAAAGACACTGCCTCTCACCTTATTGACTGGTATGAAGTTGCTCAAAAAACGGAGCTTTCTGATGACGCCTTAATAAACCATCTATACTATTCTCTCCACCCCACTATTGTGTCTCATCTTCAAAATCGTGTAATGTTGCGCCAAGAATTACCAACAGACCTCTCATCGTATTTAATCGAAGTTCGCCACATTGATGCTGTTCTTCGTTCATCTGATCCAGATTATACAAAATTCCGTAATATCCTATCTACATTGTCGAGAGAATTGACAAACCCGAGCATATCTAAAACCACTCCACTTGTCACTCGATCTCCTACTGACACTGCAAATTACCAAACCCCACGAAATAATAATGAAAGAAGAGCCAGGGGTAAATACTGCTTTGAAAATAAAAATTGTAGCCGGTGCTTTGACCCTAGCCATCACGCTCGAATTTGCCCCAAAGCTCACTTGAATCAGAATATGAGAA